CAAAATGCCAAGAAAGTGGCAATCTTCAGTTTGTTTGCACGGGGAAACATCTGCTCTTGGGATAGAGCCTTAATGGAGGTCTCCTAAAAATATGTGCATGCTGCAGCATGAGGGAATCCTGTGTTCAGACGGGCCATTTAGTCTGCTTTTGCCACACTTCAGTAATGGATTTTATATCCATGTTCACACACCCAACATCTGCGCACCGTCCCCAGCTGTCACTTTCCGGCTCAACCCCCCTTTAAAACAGAGTATTTTGTTACCAGGTCCCCAAGTGGTGTTTTCCTGATTCTCCAGTTCTAGCCGCACTTTTCTGACAACTGATCACTCCTGCAGTGTCGAGCCACTTTCGGTTTAACCCCCCTCCCCGCTCGAAAGCTGCCCGAGGCTTCCACTTTTTGCCCGCCATTTTTAAAAATGCGTTGGCAGTGCTCGTATAGGCAGAGCTCCGCCACCGCATTTAGAAAACCGACATTTAAACAGTCACTTGTTTTAGGGTTTAGATGAGTTCGGGATCTCACAGAGGCCATTTTCGGGTCAAACATTTAAAGGGAAGTCTTTTGTTTGAGGGGTTGGATTGATTTGCCCTGATGGTTCTGCGCATGCGCCATGATAGTTTCCCCCCCTTCTACGGAGGGGCGCCTATGCACATGCGCAAACGGAGGAAATTTTTTTAAAAACCCGCCAACACACGCTCCCATGCATCAGTAGTGTAGACGCCGGGGAGCGACGTGACCGTGCGGTGAGGCGGGATAAGGGAGGTAAGTGTGATCGCGATTATCCAGATCAAATATAATCCGGTTAGAACTGGAGCAGTTTAACCCGCTCCCAGCACGCCGTCTGACTGCACCCACAGGTTGAACCATGCACACAGCAAAACCTGCCCTTGCTCTGATCTTGCACCCAACTGTTGTGCAACCTGAAATCAGTGCAGAGTGCATATGGTCTGAAGGCACTGGGATGAGAACATTGGACTACTGGGAAGAAAGAAACAGAACTGGTGCAGCTTAAAGGAAGAGTCGACAAATTGCAGAGGGATGCCACTGAAGCAAATGCATTGAATCACCTACAAACCAGTCCTGCAGACATACAAAGTCTATATCTTGGTGAGCCAATGAAAGAAAGGGTGGAATGCTTGAGCTGCTTATGATACTAGGACAAAACCACTAGGCTGATGGTGCTCACTTTGGTTGTCCTTGGCTAGTAATCAAAGGGACAGGAAAAGGAGACGGGTCACGGATGCCCACCAAGCATATTTTTAAAGCTTCTTGTGGCTGAAGTGAAGAACATGGGTCCCATTAACTTGTTGGAAAGTCCATTGGTACGGTGCATGCTGGAAGTGGGCACCAAGCCTCCGCCGCTGAGCGGGAAAGGGAGGGGCAGCATTCCATCTCTCTGCCCAGACAAAACATTCACTCAACTGGCCTTGGAGACCCAGAGAACAATCTGTTTTTTCTCTCTTATCAATGGCCCGCACTTTCCAAGTAGGCCTCCCTTACAGTCTGAAAATGATACTTTGAAAGCAGATGTTCCCAGGTGGTCTGAAGATCTACTAAGAGAAGCTGTAACCCTCACTTATTAGCACCACTTCCCCACTTTTTGGCAACCAACTGATTCCAAATCCTTCCCCCCCCCCACGCCCACCCCTGTAATCACAAGTACGAGGCAACAGGCCTGTATTCACAACTCCACATTCCTCTCCTTAGCCAGTGACTCAAAGATAAAAACTACAGAGGCCCCGGAGATTCGCTCCACTGGGCTTCTACAAAACACAACACGGGCACCACTCAAATAGGACCTGCCACCCGTGTTGTCTTAGTGCCTGAAACAGAAATTCCAACTGACAGGCTCCCTTCCGCTAACGTACAGTACAATCCACCAGGAAAGCTTTTAAGGCATCGGTCCTCAACTAGGGCAGCAGGAACCAGATATCTTATTCTCTCCATGCCCATCATGGCAGCTTACCAAAGGAGGAGCTGTAGCTCTGCTCTCTCCTGAGCTTTAGCACCGCCACAGCAGCTGGCCAGACGGAGACCTGCAGCCACCAGCCCAGAGGGGAGAATTGCAGCTATCAGGTCAATGGTGGTCACATGACCCAAGGAGCCAATAAGGTTCCACCTGGTCCTATAAATCTTGTGGCCTGGCTTCCCAGTCTCAGGTACAGACTGAAGGACAAAATAAAATGGGACAGGGGGGCAAAGACTTGCTGCCATGGGGTCTGCTCTGTTCACATATGAAATTGCAATATGACAGAGCCAAGTCAGGGCTGGAGGTAGTGTTGCCAGCTCCAGGTTGGGAAATACCTGGAGGATTTGGGGGTGGAGCCAGAGAAGGGCAGGGTTTGGGGAGGGAAGGGACTTCCGTGGGGTATAATGCCATAGAGTCTACCCTCCTAAGCAGCCATTTTCTCCAGGAGGACTGATCTTGGTCATCTGGAGATCAATTGTAATAGCGGGAGCTCTCCAGGTGCTACCTGGAGGTTGGCAACCCTAGCTGGAGTGAGCACTCTACTTCCTTCAGACATCTGCCACCCCACCTCTCACTTTGTACATGAACAGAGGGGGGACGTGTATGCACCAACATGGCTGCCCCACCATGTCTAGTTTGGCCCTGGAGTACTTCCAGCCCACCTTCCGGCTTCCAAGCAACAACTGGCCTGGTCAGTACTTAATTTCTTCCTGGGTCCTAACAAGTTCTCCTTCATAAGTCTCCATGAAGCAAACAGGAGCTACATAACCTGTCAAAATCCATGGACAACTCTCTGTTCCCTTTTAAAGATACCCAAAACTGACCTCCTGAAGTGGCACACATCTCACCCTCTCTCCTGGCAGGGTTACTTCAGACATCATAAGAGCTTTCCTACTGCTTCTGCTTTGCTAAACCAACCACTCACCTGCCATACTTTGATGCCTTATTAGCCGAGAACCTGGGGGCAAGCAAAAAAGGAAAAAGATGTCTGAAGTCCCCTAAAATCCTAGTTTTCACGTCCAAAGACATTCACAGACAAATATCCTAGAGCAAATCCTGGCGCTGGTTTTTGAAGCTTGAGTCCCTCAGCGGTCAATCAACCGAACATTCATTCTCTCTGTTTAATCAAGGGTCAATTCACACTTCACAAAGACCATGTGGCAGACATGTGGACTGTCAACAGATGTGTGCCTGTGCTCAGAACTTAATTCTCAGGTGCATGGGGGGCTAGGGTGGTCAATAGGGTTGCCAAATCGAAAAATCTACTTACCGGGGGACTCCCGGTCTGTGGCTGGAGCGCATAGAGTTTTCCCTCGGATGACCGTGGCCCTGTCCCCAGCGTGCCCGGCGTCATAACATCACTTCCTGGTGACGCGCACGCCGGGGTGGGGTTCCCTCTGGGGCCCGATCCGCCGGCGGCGGGGAACGGGCCTCTGGGGCGGGGTTTTCCCCGCCCCCCGGGGGGACTTGGCAAGGCTAGTGGTCAATTCCAGATTGGGAAATTCCTGGAGATTTGGGGGTGGAATCTGGGGAATGCAGAGTGTGGAGACGGAAGGAACCTCAGCAGGGCATAATGCCACAGAATCCACCCTCCAAAGGAGCTGTTTTCTCAAAGGCAACTGATCTTTGTACTCTGGAGATCGGTTGTAATTCTGGCAGATATCCAGGCCCCACCTAGAGGCTGGCAAGTCTAGTGTGGGGTCATGATTCGAACTGGGACCACAACGTGCAGGGAGAGGGAGCTTAGGCCCTCCCCTCCATGCCTCAGGAGGAGACCCAAGGGATCGGGTGGTGAGGGCACCTAGTTCAGGAACTCCAGATCCGGGGAACATGGGGGACAACATTCCGATATTTCAGGTAGCACAAGGCACAAACAGGGCCATGTATACACCAAGCTTTAAACAAATCTCCTGCACAAGCAACCCAAATCCTACAACAAGTAAAGCTGAATTCTGTGACTGGTATAAAGTGTGCAAATTGAGTAAATTTGCTCCTTATTTTAGTATATTTTGTTCTGGGTTTGCTAGTTTGGTGTAGTGGTTAAGTGCGCAGACTCTAATCTGGGAGAACTGGGATTGATTCCCCACTCCTCTACTTGCAGCTGCTGGATGACCTTGGGCAAGCCCTAGTTCTGATAAGAGCTGTCCTTGAAAGAGCAGTTCTTGAAAGAGCTCTCTCAGCCCCACCTACCTCACAGGCTTGTCTGTTGTGGGGAGAGGAAGGGAAAGGAGTTTGAAGGCCGCTCTGAGACTCTGAGTGAAGGGCTCAGGTATAAATCCAATCTCTTCTTCTTCTTCGGACTGAAGCCCTGCCTTCAACTGCTGGAAATCTTAGTCACTCATCTGGAGTTTAGGATATATTGTCAACTCACTTTCTGATGTATCTTTGCAGCCCCAAGGACTAGAATCCTGGTTTTTTTAAAAAAGCTGAGAGTCTGCAGAAGCTAAGGTAGTACATCCTGCCTTGGATATCTCGTTCTGTGCTTTTTGTGCTCCTATGGGTTCGTGCTTTGACCTGGATAGCCCACACTAGACCAATCTCATCAGATCTCAGAAGCTAAGCATGGCCCTGGTTAACCTTTGGATTGGAGACCACCAAGAAGTCCAGGGTCAAGACACAGGCCGGCCGTGGCAAACCACCTTTGAATGTCTCTTGCCTTGAAAACCCCATCAGGTTGCCGTAAGTCAGCGGCAAAAAAAAAGGGGAGGTTGTGCTCGCTTTGACAACTCACATACTAGAAAGGGGTTCATAGCATCCTTATAGCCCAAACTTAAAATACCAGCTAGGCACTTTCCTATTTTGTTTGCCTTTTAGCAATTCCACCTTCAGGACACATCTCAGAATGCTTCCTCGAGGGGGAAAAATAGTATACCTCATTATTTTATCCTCCTTTTGCAGAAAAATAAATGCATTCATGAATCAGAAGCTCTAACATGTACAAGATAAATAAACATTTGTTTCAACCTTTGCCAGTCCGAAGCACAGCACCTTGAATAAGGGTGCGTGGCAGACCTGGTCAGATCCCACCTTCTTGCCTTTGGTGGCTGATTAAAGTCCCAGCTCTGCTACTCAAAGCAATGGAAAGTCCAGGTGAAGTTGCTTCAGCTTGAAGTGTGGGTTTCTTTGAGAGATGATCCAGAGTATCTGGGGTACGAATGAGAGGCATTGACTATGAAGTGGTTGCCTCTTCAAGGAGGCGATGGATTTCGTGGAAAGAAGGCCGGTCTTTGGTGTCTCGTCTCCAACAGCTGAGCATTAGCTTATACACGGGATCAGGGCAAAACGCAGGCTGTGGGAGGTACGTCTGGAATAGGGGGGGAAAGGTAAACATTGAAGAAAGAAAGGCCAATTCCTTTTCCAAAGACATCAGAAGCAGAAGGCAGCCATGATGTTAATATAACTTTTTTTCTGGCACAGAGCGCTCTTCTGGTCATTTACACCATTTTAAAATTATTGTTTATCACATTAGCACTTTGTCCTTCCTCCAAAGAGTTTGGGGTATCTTACGTGGCACTACCCCCATTTTATCCTTACAACAGTCCTACGAATCAACTTACGAAGCTGAAAGCATGATTTATTCTGAGACACTCCAGAAACTTCATGGCTGAGAAGATTTGAACCCAGGCCTCCCTAGCACATGCCTAACACTTGCTCCCAGTGAGACCCCCGACATGGTGCGTGTTGGTGCCTCCTGGTACCCACTTCCTAGTCCTCCAAAGCATCAGTTCCCCCAAGCAGAGAGCCAATCCCAGCATTCTTCCACCTCACTGGAGTAGCAGGTGCTTCAGAAGAGCCCTGGGGGCATTATCTACATGTCTGCTGGAAACAACTGCCTCCATCCAAGGAGGTAGCTTACTGTGGAACAGCCCAATATTTTGTGACTAGTTGATCCAGGGTTGCCAGCCCCGCAGTGGGGGCGAGGGATCCCCGCCCCAACTCACATTTCCCACTGCTGTTCAAGAGCAGCAGTGGGAGAGTTTTTAAAAAAATTGTTTCGTTAATGGCCACTGGGCTGACAGCATGATGTCACTACTGGGGAAAACCAGAAGTAACATCAGTCCTCTCTAGGAATCGCTGGAAACCCCATAGTTTTACCATAGAGTTTTTTCCAGCAATTCCTAGAGATTTCTGGATTTTCCCCAGAAGTGTTGCCATCACCAGTGGCCCTGCCCCATGTCCTTGCCACTGGGGTTATCCTGTTTGTAGTTGACCATGCCCCACATGGCAGCTATTTTGTGGTGCTCCCTGTTCTCAAACATCCCAAAGTATCCGTCCAATAAGGCTGGCAACCCCTGCTCAGCCCACAACATGTTAGGTCTCTCTTTTCTTTATTCTGTAAGGGCAAGAAAGCGAATGCCAGTAGGGCAACCCATCCAGCCTGCCTCAACCCTACTCTCCATTAACAGCAGCTGTGAGTGAGCACACACAGAAAACAGTAGCAGGAAGGAGTGTCAGAAGGCCTGCATTAAAGAAATGGCTTGGGGGGGGGATGAAGCCTGTGGAGAACAAGGAGCTTGAGAGGCACAACACTTGAATCCCCATCCCACTAAGGAAAGGTAGTGCATTTGTGCAAAAAAGCATCTATGGAGGGATGCGGGACTGCCGTCCCAGTCACCAGTTCTTCAGTATTTTAAATTTCCTAAACACTCCCCCCAGGGGTCACTTCCTGAGGGAGAGCACGGGAACGAAGCTCCGGGAGTAAGGAGCCCAGGGGGCAGGCACATGCAACAAGCCCCGCCCCCTGCACTCCTCAGTCGGGCCACAAGGAGCAAGAAGCAGCCAGGTAAGTTACAGAGCCACCCCCCGGCCCGCCTTCAGGTACAAGCTCTCCCTCCTCTGTGAGGGCAGATTTGCGTGTGCCCCCCCCCATAGCTAGCAATCCAAAACAGTCCAGTGGCACCTTTAAGACCAAGTTTTATTTAGGTACAAGCTCTCCCTCCTCTGTGAGGACAGATCCCGTGTGCCCCCCACCCCAATAGCTAGCTATCCAAAACAGTCCAGTGGAGCCTGAGCGGTGGGTGTTGCCTTCTGACACACTTCCGGTGAGGTCAGGGGGTGTGGCATATGCAAATAAGTTATGCTAATGAGTTATGCTAATGAGCTCCTGCACCTCTTTTTCTACGAAATGACCCCTGACTCCCCCCCCCCCATTCTACTTGGCTTGTGGGGGCAAAAAAGCTCAGATCGTGCTGATGTTATCTTGTGCGTTTTAGGGGGGTGAAGAGTACCAGGCTGCTGTTTTGGCATCAGACAATACATACTCTGCCATACGCAGTTGTAGCCTGAGCCAAACTGTAGCAAAGCTCAGGGCTATTGTCCAGCCTGATCCTGACAATTTATTCCATCAACCAACACTTCTTAACTCTCTTTCTTTCTGTGGTCATTTTACCTGATGGCTACATAGGATGCAGGGGGGATTCTCCTGTACCTGACATCCAGCCATCATCCCAGGCTCTTCGATCTACCTAGAAAAAATGTCCTTTCCTTCATGCTTGGCACCACTACCAAAGGCGCACAGCATCCAGAAAGATATCTGTAGTCTGCTAATGTTTATCCTATTTAATAATTGCAGGTTATATATTAAACGTCTGGGTAGATAGTTCCAGCAGAGGCTGGAGGTGGGCTGTAGATAGTTCCTGTAGAGGCTGGAGGTGAGTTTGGACCAGGGGACCATTTAGGAGCCTTTCCATTCCCCCCCCCCGTTTTAAAAGAACATCTGTTGCTTCCCCAAATGCTTCCAAACCTGCCGCCCTTGATCCCTGAAGAACTCTCCAGTGTTCTCAATGACTTGCTCATCTGAAAGCTGGGAATACGGCTGCTCACGGCAAAATGTGAAGGTCTCCCAGAGCGTCACACCAAACGCCCACACGTCACTTGCTGTGGTGAATTTCCCCTGGATAAAGAGGGAGAGCCCACTTCAGAATAACGCAGGTATAACCATTCAGCATCCAAGAAGGAAAGGAAAAGGGTGATTACAGACTGAAAGGGTTGTAGTTCATTTTCTTTAAAATTGTGTGTATCATTTAAAAACAAGTAACTGTTCAAATTTGTTTTAAACGTGTGTAGATTTAATTTATTAATCAATTTAAAAAGGTAAAGGTTCCCTTGCTCGAAAGCCAGTCGAATCCGACTCTAGGGTTGCGGTGCTCATCTCCGTTTCAAAGCCAAAGAGCCAGCGCTGTCCGAAGACGTTTCTGTGGTCATGTGGCTGGCATGACTAAATAACAAGGCACATGGAACGCTGTGTTATTGTATTGCAATTAAATTAATCAATTTAAGGGTATGCAATTAATCCACTAGGATTTGTTCAACTGATAGACAGCAAATATCTCTTTCCACTTCCAGGGTTCCATCTCTCGAGTTATCTCTAAACACCCTTTCACAGTGGTTAAAGCAGGGGTCCCCCAATTTGCTGCCTCTGGGCACCGTGGCACCCACCAACACCTTTCCTGGCACTCGCTAAGTGGGCCAGTTTGGTGTAGTGGTTAAGTGCACAGACTCTAATCTGGGAGAACCGGGTTTGATTCGCCACTCCTCCACTTGCAGCTGCTGGTGTGACCTTGGGCAAGCCACAGTTCTGTCAGAGCTGTTCTCTCAGGACAAGTTCTCGAAAGAGCTCTCTCAGCCCCACCTACCTCACAGGGTGTCTGTTGTGGGGAGGGGAAGGGAAAGGAGAGTGTAAACCACTCTGAGACTTCGAGTGAAGGGCGGGGTATAAATTTAATCTCCTCTCCTTCTTCTTCTTCTTCTTCCCAGCAAGGCTTCTCAGAGGCCATTGGAGTTTTGAGTGGCTGTGCAGATTTTTTAAAAAGTTGCTTTGGTAGCAGCTGCCACCGCAGCATAAGGATCTTCACTGTGTGACTGGGCCAGCTGGTCGGCAGCAGGCAGAAACCCATGAAATCAGGGGATTCCCCCACTCCCACCTGGGGGTTGGCAACCCTGCTTCTCCTGGCAGCCTTGGAAGGTGGGCAGCATGGCATTATACCCTACCAAGGTTCTTACCCTTCCTAAATGCCACTCTCCCATGCTCTGCCCTCAAATCTCCAGGAATTTCTGAACCCAGAGTTGGCAACACTACATCTGCATTACTAATTCCACAGGGGTGGCTGTCACAGCAAAAAATAAGCAGCAGTCTCCTTAAAGACTAGCAAAATGTTATTTTAGCGTAAAATCTCATGGACTAAAGCCCCTTTCTTGCAGGTCCTATGAGTGGATTCTCACTATGCAGGCATTTTATATAGGAAGTGTGGACGGGGGGGGGGGGGACCCAGCAGGGACAAGGGGCCACTAAGGGCAGTTTGCACAGGGCAACCTGGAATTATGTAAAAGTCTGGATTATTGGGATTGCAGTGGCCTTGAGTATTTGCTTCGACGGAAATGGGAAGGACAAAGGATGCGTTTATAGAACACACTTAGATTCAGTTCACACATCACAAAGTTATGACGGCCACTCTGAGGACTTCGTAGCATCTGATGGCAGTCCTGTGCCTCCCAGATGGCACATGGGTCCAGTTCTGATTGTAACCAAGGCATGTGTGGAAGGGGCTTCAGCCTTCTCCCCCTCCCCCCCGCCAATGCCATTTTCATGTCCTGAAACTGTGCCCGGGATTCGCAGTTCGCTCTGTGGCGAAAATTCTGCAACTTGCATGGCTACATATAATCTTCACAGGAAAACTGAAGCTCCCAAGGGCTGTTTTAGAATGTGAAAACAGCACAGGGGAGGTGGGGGAGCTGAATTCTATGCACGCTGTGGTCATAAATTCAGGTGGGTAACCGTTTTGGTCTGAAGCAGCAGAGCAAAGCTTGAGTCCAGTGGCATCTTTAAGACCTACAAAGTTTTATTCGTGGTATAGGCTTTCGTGCGCATCACACCTCCTCAGATACAGTGGAACAGAACCTCTTCAGCCATTACTTATAGGCAGTGTTCCCTCTAAACTGAGTTAGTGTGAGCTAGCTCACAGTTTTTTTTAGCCTCCGGCTCACACATTTTTGTCTTAGCTCAGGAAGGATGGCTCCAGAGCAAACTGATTTATGCAGTAGCCAAATCGCTCGCTCACAACTTTAGTGCCAGTAGCTCACAAAGAAGAATTTTTGCTCACAAGACTCCACAGCTTAGAGGGAGCATTGCTTATAGGGGGTGGGGTTTGACACAGTTTGACCCTTCCCCCCAAATCCTTAACACAAATGGGCCTCTATGCACACTTGGACCTGGGTGCATCTGAGGAGCGCAAAACTCTCAGTGCACATTTGATAGAAAGCCCCTGAGGACTTTCTTAACATGTGAACTGGCCCTAATTATTGAGACAGAAGATTATGTTTTGGCTTCAGTAGTCCCAGTGGGAAGCACAGGATGCAAGAAGATTACCAAAAGGATGCTCTCCCACGACATCCAGCGGATAGGGAGCACTGCTCGGCCCTGGATCCTGTAGTAGTCGCCACTGTAGAGGTTCCGGCTCATCCCAAAGTCAGCTATCTTGATGGTGTAATTCTTCCCCACTAGGCAATTGCGTGTGGCCAGGTCTCGGTGCACAAAATTCAGGGAGGACAGATACTTCATGCCAGAAGCAATCTGTGTAGCCATGAATTTCAGGTCAGCGTAGCTGAAGATGACAAGAAGAGCCAGAGGAGAAATCAGGCCAACGGCTGAGTCGGCATATTATCAGACAGCAGACAGCTTGCCCCTTTCAGGCAAGGCAGCAAATGACACACTCATAGAAGAACAGAACAATTCGGCAGGAAGAGTAAGAACAACTGTGGTCCTAATTCTGCAAATTAATCTGTAGGGAGGTGTAGAAAAGAGTAAGAGTTGAGTAGCACCTTAAAGACTAACAAAAGAGTCCAGGAGCACCTTAAAGATTAGTCTTTAAGGTGCTCCTGGACTCTTACTCTTTTCTACTGCTACAGACTAACATGGCTGCCCATCTTGATCTATCTCTGTAGGGAGGTGTATGTGGCTTGTTTTTAAAGTTCAATTGCCAATTTACCCCCCACCCCAACTGTTGTGTATGCTGACCACCACCGGGGGCCAGCGAACAGCCAGACCTTGACTCTGGAAGGACAATAGGGACTAGGCTCCTAGTCCCTCCACTGGGGAGCCAATGGGAACCGTGGCGGGAAATTCAAACCCACCAATGGTGCCCAGGGGTGTGTCCCCAGGGTTGTATATAGTTGGTCTCCCAGGCTGTTGTTCCTTGTTCTCGTTATGTACCAATAAAGCGTGCTATGCACCACGTCGTTGTCTGTCGTCTATCCATGCGGCTACCCACTACATAACACCAACGGATAAGAATCCTACCCTGAGGAACACTAGATTACCTTTTGCTAACTTTTAGCTCTAAGTCCTAAAGCCCTCCTAAGTCCTAAAGCCACCAGT